GAAAGACGTTATTGCCCTTCTTCCTACGGGATTTGGGAAAAGCTTAATGTACCAGTTATCCCCATTAACAGAGCATTACATACGTCACGACCAAATAGCAGCGATTGGCTTGAATAAAAAAGTACCCACCTACCATCGAGAGAACGAATTCTAACACAGGTCAGACGGTTTCTACGAAGTGAAATGAAGTGAAACCAGGTGATGAATCAGGCTGGTGCGACCTAGTGCCTCCGCTCAAATTCATTTCACTCCAGCAACTAGGTCAGGAATCAGAAAACACTAAACTTTGCGAGAACTCCGGAAGTTGTAGACCGCGCACCGACCAATTAGCAAAGAGCTGTGAAGCCATGACGTCAAACTCAAGCGCCTGTCTGGGTCCCTTTTGTGGTACAGCACAACAGTAAACAAAGCGGTCGAGATGGATGTAGACGAAGACATACATTCTGTGTTGGCGACGATTCCCGAGATCGAGGATTTAAAGCCGGAACAAAGAGAATGTTTATCAAGGGGAAAGATGTTATTGTCCTTCTTCCTACGGGATTTAGTGCATTACATACGTCACGACCAAATAGCAGTGATTGGTCGAATTAAAAAAGTAACCATCTACCATTGAGTGAACGAATCCTAATACTGTGAGGTCAGACGGTTTCCACGAAGTGAAACCAGCTGATGAATCAGGCTACCTTTAAGTAGAAGTTGAAAAAACAAAAAAACAAAACAAAAAACTAAGTAATGGCATAATAGTAAAACTTTGACTTTGATGAAGAATAATTTTAAGACTGTCTGGATCTAATATCTGAATTATAATATTATTAATGTTACTGTCGCGGTATTGCATTAAACGTATACATCCTACATTTACTAAAAGACTTGCATCCTTGGACATGGATCCTTGCAAATTTGGACTCTCCACTGATCTGATATGTAACTTGGCCCAGTGGTGTGGCTTGCTGTCTCTGAAATAAATAAGTGTAATGACATACTGTGGAACATTCAAGGCGATATCTCCATGGAGAAGCAGGTGGCGGACCCTCCACCAAGTAAGTTACACAGTGCAACTTTAAATAATGCACAAAAAATGGCTCATATTTGAAGGAGCACAAACTTTTGTCATTCTTAGACTTAGTAGTAAAGTACCCAAAACTTTTGCTCATGTAAGAGTACTGTTACACTGCCAAATATTTTTGAAATAACTATAAAAGTACAGCACACACACACACACACACACATACATACACACAAACACACATGGCAGTAGACGGGTGGGCAAAGGGGTCTGTGGTCCCGGGCCCCAGGGATTTTAGGGGCAAAGAATTGGTCCCTCTTCCTATTAATTTATCATTTCTGTCAACAGGCCCACACACATAGACATAAATACATGCACATACACGCACGCACACACACACACACACATTTTCCTCTCATTTGCTGCATTTTCTCACAGGGAAAAGTGGAGCTCCTGTTGCATCAGGCGGACCTCCCTCATCCCTCAGAGCCCTGCAGCACACAGGTTAGCACCATATGAGGAGCAGTGAGAGGACAATTATAGAGCAGTCCATATTCAGCTATTTTTATTGTTCCCATGCACAATATCATTTCAGTCCCTCTGGGCAGTTTCGGTAAGCCTGCCCGTGTGATCAGGATCAGGCTTTCACTTTGTAATAATATCTCTTATGCTGGATGTTTCTGCTGCTGCTATTTTTACACAACCGCGGAAGTCTGTAATGCTCGAGAACACATTTCCTGAAAATACAGATAAAAAGTTGAGTGAGTAATTTTCTGAAGTAACAGTCTTTCTGTATGTGTGTGTGTGTGTGTGTGCGTTTGTGTGTGTGTGGCAGATGTGCAGGTTCTGAATTGACAGGATGTTTATCAGGAATGCAGGGTTGACCTTATGTTCCATAACATTGGGCTGGTGATGTGTTTAACATATGGACCCACACACTTGAAGAAAGGCACGGCAGAAATATGACATAAGAACACTAAACATATCTTAAAATATATATATATAATAATAAAGAAAAAGTAAACAAAACATATACAGTATTAGCGCATATAGCCTACCACTATTATTTTATTTATAGGTTCTATATTATATAGCTTTAAGCCATGTTATAATGCATTTGCCACATCAAAAACACATCTGGAGTTGTGTTTTGTTTCATCCACACATGTCTGAGTAACCTTTTATTGCCTATATCTCAAAGTTTTTGTATTATTATTATTATTATTACATTATATATATATATATATATATATATATATATATATATATATATATATATATATATATATATATATATATTTTTTTTTTTTTTTTTTTTTTTATGACAAAGCAACATATGTATGTAGATATAATATAGTAAAGTGCAGATCAGATTGCTATGCCTCTATGCAAAGTCCAGTTCCAAGTTATGGCAGGTGTGGAAAGTGGAGAAATGTACTTACACACACATGCATACATACATACATACACACATGCATACACACATACATGCATACACATACATATATACATACATACATACACATACATACATATACTACATACATACATACATGCATAAATACATACATACATACACATATATACATATATACATACATACATACATACACACATACATGCATACACATACATATATACATACATACATACATACACACATATACTACATACATACATACATGCATAAATACATACATACATACACATATATACATATATACATACATACATACATACATACATGCATACACATACACACATACATACACACACACACACACACACACACACACGCACACACATAGATACAGAAATTAAAACCAAAACAAACTTGACATACTTGTAAACTTAAACTGAGGCAGATATTGAAAGAAATCAATATAAGAAACTGAGGAAGTGTTTGAAAATAAAATCCTAATTCTTCTGTAATATTAAGTGTTTTGATAGATTTAAGGTTAGAAATATTGTTTAGAGTTTGGAGAAAAAAGTTCTTGATGTCTGGGATAATGATTTTTGAAAAGGGGTCTGGAATTAGAGAACTTGGATTTATGGATATGAAATGTTCCCAACAGAATGACTAGGTTTACTAAATATTCAAATTTATGTTGTTTATGATACGGGTTATTAAACTTGAGTAATCCAATGAATTCTATGATATTTTTTCCAGGATAAGTGTTCTATTTGACAAAGTTTAAACTTGACATTTCCAAAGCTTAAAATGCTCTGTTCCACATTGTGATGTCATATAGTGATAGTTTTCAAGTTAAATACTACTTTTAACTTTTTGGTTTATACTAGTCATTATGAAATATCAAATGATTCAATATGAATGTTTGATGACATGATCAGGAATGATTGTATATTTCCAGCAAATAAGTTTGATTTATTTATGCTTAAAACATACAATCCTTTATAATACAATTGTGATATTACATACATGATAGATCAAGTTAAATACTACACATGCATACACATTGGCATATGCATATGCATACACATACATCATACACACATACATACATACATACATACATACACATATATACATACACATTTTACAACAAGTACATATAACATACATACATACATAATATACATAAATACATAATACATACATACATACACATATACATTATACACATTACATACATGACATACATACACACATTACATACACCACACACACACACACACACACACACGCACACACATAGATTACAAAACCAAAACAAACTTGACATACTTGTAAACTTAAAAACTGAGGCAGATAAAAGAAATCAATATAAGAAACTGAGGAAGTGTTTGAAAATAAAATCCTAATTCTTCTTGTAATATTAAGTGTTTTGATAGATTTAAGGTTAGAAATATTGTTTAGAGTTGGAGAAAAAAAAATTTTTGAAAAGGGGTCTGGAATTAGAGAACTTGGATTTATGGATATGAAATGTTCCCAACAGAATGACTAGGTTTACTAAATATTCAAATTTATGTTGTTTATGATGGAAACGGGTTATTAAACTTGAGTAATCCAAATGAATTCTGATGGATATTTTTTCCAGGATAAGTGTTTCTAAATTTGACCAAAGTTCCTTTAAACTTGAACATTTCCAAAGCTTAAAATGCTCTGTTCCACATTGTGATGTCATATAGTGATAGTTTTCAAGTTAAATACTACTTTTAACTTTTTGGTTTAGTAGAGACTAGTCATTCCAGGGCTGAAATCATCCAAATGATTCTAGTGTAGGTGTATATTGTTTTTTCCTCTAAAGTTCTACAGTATGACATTTAATTTGAGTATCACCAGGCCAAATTACATGTCAGCTCTGTGGAGAAGTGGCCCCGCTCACAGTAATAATGCATTTTTGAGTTTTGAGAAATAAAAACACCTGTAATTAAATACAATTAAAGTTAGAACAACCCAAGCAAAGCAATAACATCACCATGAAGAGACACTACACAGTGCACTTTTAAAACACAGTGGAGCACCTCCTGTATAACCACATGACATCACAACGTGGAACAGAGTGTTTTCCATTTGAGAGAACAACTCAACCTAATAAATATGCGGGGTTTGTGTTTTAAAAATGCGTGAATGAAACACAACTTCAGGACTGTTTGTGATGAGGAAACAACATTATAACATAAAGTATATCAGAAAATAGCGTAATATGGGCCATTTAAAAAGTACACTAGGCTACTACTCGGCTCACTAATAGCAGTTTAATGGTTATACAAAATTAGGCCTGACTTGCCCTTTCTTTCTCCCTCCCGCATGTGTTTGTGTTTCACGAAACAAACCCGCAGTTGCCAGTGTCCATTATGGGACGCGTGTGGGGTAAACGCGCAGCTGAAACAGAGGAAATCCTTTTTGCATGTCAGTGAATTGTTGAGCCAAAGAAGGGGCTTCACTTTTGTTTGCAGCCTGAGTGGGAGGGGCCGGGGATGGGGTGTTCCACAGTGTCCCCTCCCACTCAGCAGCTCCCATGTGTTTGTGTGCGCGAAAGAAAGAAGAAAAGCAGCAGCCCCTTTTCCCATTCCCATGGATCGTATTACTCCCGCATCAGCCCGGAGAGTGCGCTGCTAACCACAGTGCGCCCGTCAGCCCCGTCAGCCCGCTCCTCCGCGTCTCTCCTCCGCGTCTCTCCCCGGACAGACCCGTGCGCACTCGGTACTCGTAGACCGGGCGGGCGGTGAGCATGTGGAGTCCCGGTGCATGCCCCCTCCACGTTTTCCGGCTTCAGTTCACGTTTCTTTTTGTTTGAGCGCTGCGAGCTTCAGCCGCTGGTGGCCGTGGGCAGAGCGCGGTCTCGCATCCACTCCTGCGCAGCCCGTGGAAGTGGAAGAAGGGCGAAGGGCGGATGAAAACAACTAGATTCATGTCTGGACTCTGAAAACGCACCAATAGCAGGAGATCTGACCTGATTTTTATTCCTCTACAGCGTGCGCTCTGTTTGTTTTTGCCACCATGGAGTCGGTGGAGAAGGAGTGTGGAGCGCTAGGTGGATTATTCCAGGCCATTGTGAACGACATGAAGGTAACGCACTATTTGTAATAAGTGTGCATGACTTCTAACTCACTCTTGTACTTGTATGAGTGCGGGATACACTCATAATTTTACTGCCTTTGTTTGGTCCACCGGGTCCTCCCCCACAAGAAGGACTGCTTCAGGACATATCGACAGATGAAGCGTGTTTCCTTTGTGTTATTTGCATAATGTGCAGCAGGTCGGTTTCAGATGTAATAACATTAGGCTTGAACAAGGAAAGTCTCACTAATTCACAACAGCGCCTTGTTAAAAAGCTCAAGCGTAGTTTTCAATGTTAATACAATGTGCCCTATATTAGGACACACTACCCTTGTGATTTTCTCAGTAACTCTAGTAGACCAAAGCCATTTAAAGTGACTCCATGCTGTTATTATACATTTATTACACATCAGACTGACCAGATTTCAGAGAATTCAGAGTTCAGCCAATATCCACAGTGTCAGGATGTCAAATATGATAAGTTCACCTTTCGTTTATTCATTGTTGTCCCGGATCCAAGTTAAATACAGGTGTTACTTGTTGTCACGTGGTTTTCTTAAGGAAGGTGAAAAGAAAGATCTTTATTTTAAGTAGGTCTGAAGGGCCTATCCATAGCAGGTTGTCCCTATTATGTGTCACACATTATGTTTGTTGCTGGGGGAGGGGTCAAGGCAAGGAAGTTAAACCAGGGTGGTCTGTTGTTCACTTCAACAGATGGAGAGTGTGAATGTCTTCATCAAGTGTTTAGAATCTCATTGTTTGTCACAGAGGATCTTCTTCAGTATTAAAATACAGATTTCACTGTGTCATTTAGCACCACTGTCACAAAGACTTTGTTAACCCTCAGTTACAGAATTAGTGTAATTTGGAGCCTGATGTAGTTAAACCTGTGTGACCTCAGAGTGGAGCTTTTTCATGGAGACAGAGGTATTCTGTGTATTGATAAGCTGAGCTGTTGGATGAGAGTAAAGCCCTTACTCAGCACAGTGTCCACTGTCTGAGACAGACATCTGACCTCATTCCTGTGGCTGGGCCACGCCGGCCTGTCGGACCCCCCCTCATCCCTCCTGCCCTTGGCCCCCATCGCCCCCAGAGCAGGGCTATTGTGTCTGTATGAGTGAACACAGTCACAAATGTACAGTGTAAGTGCTGATATTACATGCACCTGTTGGTTATGTAACGCAGAGATGAGGAGTCAGGAAAAGAAATCTGAGTGGGAGGTGTTGATTCAAAGAAGACCCTGTACCAGCTTCAGTCTTTAATCTGTGAATACTGATGTGTCAATTATACAACACTGACTGCACATTTGCTAGTTTATTGTTTTAATAATTACAGAGTAATAAAGTCACACATTAAATAAGTAGTAAATGACAAACACTGTGAAAAAACAACACTCCACCCTGGAAAAGCACTGAGGCATTTAAACAGACATATTCTCTGTCCTCACACAGTTGTATTTATTGTTGCTGCTACATGTGCATAAAGGAGGTGTGATCCAACAGAAATAGATCTCTCCGGGGCCCGGCTGCTCCCTCTCTCAGCTGTCTCCCCTCCTCTTTCCTCCTCTCTCCTCGTCGCCCTCGGGAGTCACAGGCCACACAGGCTAATTAGGCACCTGTTGGAGTCAAGTGCAGGCGGCTCTCTGGGAGGCTCTTTGAAAACATTTTTATAAGAAGTGATAGTCCTTAAATCACTTTGCAAGAGTCAGGAGGAGTGTAACCCAAGGCATATGGAAAAAAACTTTGAAAAACCTTGAAAAAAAACTGAATTTCATGGTGACTTAGCGTTGGTGGGATCTTCTGGCTCTGCTCCAGCACAGAGGGTCTGGCCTCTCTGTTCCGTCTGAAGGGCTATACCTCGTCCTAATAGGATTTAGGCCCCAGTGTGTTTTATGTGGGGCCTCTGATCTTATGGCTGGAGGCTGCACTGGAGATGATCCCAGGTAAATGTGATCCAGGTGATCCACAAAAACAGTCCCAGCAGAGAAGCACATGACTCTGACAGACCATGATGATACTAAAGGATTTATACTTTTTCCGAAAGGCTCAGTACTCAATTTCGGTTTCAATAACATAATAATAAAAACACTCTTAATACAGCTGAATATAATTTTCAGCATAAATTATTTGTACTTTCTTTAAAGATAACGCAAAATTGACTCTTGAGCTTTAAGTTAAGTCATTACAATGTTGTTACCTCCTCAAAAACATACCCAGAGTTGTGTTTTATTTCATTCACACATGTTTTGAGTAACCCTTTATTTTTAGTCTGTTGACATCTCCAAAGCTCCAAAGTTTTCAAGTTAACAGCTACCTTTTACCCTTTACCTTTTGTTTAGCAGAATGTGGTCATTTCAGAGAGCTGAAATTATCCAAATCATTCTAGTGAAGGTTTATAAAGTTTCAAAACACTGTGGAGCACGTCCTGTATTTCCACATGACATCACAGGGTGGAACAGAGTGTTTTCTGTTTGAGAGAAGAACTCAGCCTAAATATGCAGGGTTTGTGTGTTAAACATGAAACAAAACACAACTCCAGGTAGGTTTTTGATGAGGAAACAACATTATACATAGATCAGAAACTAGTGTAATCTGGACTCTTTAGTATTACCGTATGGACAAAATGAAGACTCCTCTCTGACCTTTTATCAAGACAAGTCATAACAACATTATGCGTGTCGACTACGTGTGTCTACTGTGTGCCTGTAGGACACGAAGCCACGCTGTTTTGAGTTATAGGTGCAAAGAAAGGACAAGTCTGGAAATGAGTTGACTAGAGGCTGTATCTTAAAGGTCCTGTATTACATAAATTTGAGCTTTAAGCCAAGTTATAATGCTGTTACCTCCTCAAAAACACACCTGGAGTTGTGTTTTGTTTCATTCGCACACGTTTGAGAAATCTTGGTTAAATATTCTGTCTAAATCTCCAAAGTTCGAAAAGGTTTGTTCCAATTTGTGATGTCATGAATTGGTAGTTTTCAAGTTAACAGCTACCTTTTACCTTTTGCTCAGAAGAAAATTGCAAAACCTGGACTGAAATAAACAAAATGATTCTACTGAAGGTCTATGGAGTTTAAAAAACATAGTGGAGCACTTCCTATATTACCACATGACATCACAAGGTGGAACAGAGTGTTTTATGTTTGAGAGAAGAACTAAATATGCAGGATTTGTGTGTTAAACGTGTGAATAAACCAAAACAAGACTAAAAATTATATGCATTTGAAAACAAATCAGAAAATAGTGTCATATCGGTCTTTTAAACAGAATTCCATGTTTACTAATTCACTTTTTTTCCTTTTCTTGTTTCTTTTTCAGAGCTCGTATCCAGTTTGGGAAGACTTCAGTGCCAAGGCTACAAAACTACACTCTCAACTTAGGTAAAACTCACAAAACTGCACATTTCTTATATTCTTCCTCTTTATTATTTCTTATATTGTGACACTACTTACACAAATATACACCCGACTAATATTTTTTTTATTTTGTTCATTAGGACTACAATCCTGGCAGCCGTGGCCTTCTTAGATGCTTTTCAGAAAGTTGCAGACATGGCTACCAACTCCAGAGGTAAGTCGAAGTCACTCCCTCACTAAAGCCTCACTCAGTCACATTTCCATTTGTAATGAAGTGATTATGACTTCGTGAGGCGTAACACTTGCCCCTCCTCTTCCATGAATCATTGGCGTCGTACTCGGTGCACTGTATCGAGAGTATTGATATTGCAGTGACATCATGCAGGGGGAGGTCTGCGTGTATCTTTAATGGTGTAATGTTTAGGGGTTACCATGGTGACACAATGCATACATTAGTGAATGCAGTCAGAAAAATATTAAAATAGAAAGAAAAAACACACACGAAAAAAGCACAAAATGGAATTAGACAAGAGCCTGTGATCAATACGAGCGTTCTTGGTCTTGTTTAGGAGTTTGAGTTTCAACAAAAAGCTGAGATTGACTTTATCACAACAGAAATCTACATTTTATAGTAGTTTCATAGTAATTTTAGCTGCCCACATCTGTATTAACTGTGACTGATATTTTGTGATGTCACCTGAAACCCAACAATAGGCTGGTTTTGATGTGTGGAAAAAAAAAAAATCACTTTGTTATTGTTTAAAGGTGCACTGTGTAACTTTTCTGGTAAAGGCTCCTCCACCTGCTTGACTCCATGTTGTATTTTACATGGAGACTAAATCTGTGGAGAAGTGGGCCCGCTCATGGTAATAATGTCTGTCTTTGTGGTTGTTTTGAGAAATAAAAAACACCTGTAACTGAATAAATACGAGATATATTTTAATGCTATACTGTGGAACATCCCAGGCAACGCAATGGCATCACCATGGCACAAGCAGACGGTTTACCTCCACCAGAAAAGTTACACAATGCACATTTAACAGTTTCTTGAAAAGTCAACTACTGGTATGAAGATTAATATGAAAACTTTAGTCATTAAACACAAAGTGATTTCTTTGGACATGATCATAACTGTGCAGGTTTTGGTATCTGAATGAATAGAGCATTTGTACAATGTTTTGTAAATGTGTAATATTTGTACTTGATTTAATACTTTATATAAATATCCATAGTTAACCTGCAAACAGCTGCGTTCCAAATACGAAGTGAGCATGCGTGCGCTTCAGGCTCCACTGACTTTGGATCTATTTTTAAAAATTAGATTTCACTAATGATACTAGATCAAATGAGCATCTTTAGTAGTTGATAGTAGTTTCAGTATTTGGGTATTTGTTTCACTGGCATTGTTTTAGCTAATGGCTCACTTCAATTCAGCAGATTTTTGATACTCTGCATTGACATCACACTGGTGGTGTTCTACATGTATCTCTGTGGTGGAATATTTAGCAGTTCCCATAGAAACGCAATGCACACGTTAGCAAACACAGCCAAAAATGTTTGAATGTAACAACATGGCTGTAAAATGCAAAAAAAAAAAACCAAAAAACATTATATTTACATATGCATATTTGTAATATTTGTAACTTGGCCCTAATTTCACTCTGTTCTTTCATCTTAGCTCAGTTGTTCTTAGATGTCTCAAGTAGGTTTGGCTCAAAGCTCAAGGCAGTGAAAATCTGCTCTTATTGTTTGTCGGGGCTTAATGAGGCCTGTGATCTGCTTTGTCACCCTGTAGTGACCGCAGACAGACGGACGCAGAGGCTGCTTATTCTCACAGATTTTCCTTGGAGTAAGTTCACGGCAGAGCTCAGTATGTAGGTCAGAAGAGCCCAGTAACACGCGAGGCCGAGGAGGCATGTGCGCACACAAACAGTGAGAGGGTGACAGCTGGTGCCGGACACCTGACCTCCGCAGGTCACATGACCCCCTGCAGGTCACATGACAACATGCCCTCAGTGTGTTTGCACTGAGTTTGCACCGGCAGATTTAGCCCCATTCACTGCTTTTTTACTGCGTTCACCTCATAAGCCCGGCTGTGGTTCAGAAACACATTATTTGATTACTACATGATTACTACTGCTACTACTAATACTACTACTATTTACTACATAACACATACATAACACAAAATATCCAAAGACCCTTTACATGGGGAAGTAAACGTACAATGACTCAAGAAATACTCAAGAAAATGCTTAATAAACCCCAAATAATAATTGATACTTTGCAGCGACATCACACTAGGGGTGTTCTACATATAGGCTTATGTCTATGGCAGAATCTTAAGCAGTTTGCAGTGATACATTGCATACATTTGTGAACACAGCCTGGTTTTTACATTTTTACAAAACCCAAGAAAAAAAAAGACTTACAGTGATTGAAAACTGTTGGCAGATGCTAGTAGTTCTAAGAGATTTGTTTAATTGCACAAATCACCTCACTATTCAAACTTTTAGTCAAATCTTTATGGTTAGATTGAGTTAAAATAAAGCTCAGATTCAAGTCTCAACACAACCTCAGACGGAGCAGTGACTACAGTTAGCTTTAACCCCGGGGAATATAGATAACACCACCTGCAAACTCTCAATACACTTTTTAATGTTACCGTGTTGTTTTATACTAATTTTACTTCTACTAAAACCACTTGGGAAAGGTCCAAAATTGTCCTACTTATGTAATATTTTTAGTATCAATAGTAGTTTGGCTTCAGTGATATTTTATAAGCATTTGTGTATCATTTTTAAATACCACTGACTCTAGTTTTTGAAGGTAAAAGGTGGACTCAGGTCAGACGCTCTCACCCCAGGTTCAGGCCATGGCAGAACACATCAAAGAAACAGGCTGGGGTTGGAGGCGGAGCAGCAGTTTCTAGTTAAATCTGAGAGGCATGAGAAGGGGATGAGAGAGGACACAGAATGAGTTTTACTTCAATAAATGTTTAAAATCCCTAGAAGTGTGTCACTGGTACACGCTCGCTCAGTCCTCTGTCCTCATGCGCTGACACTCACTTCAGGATTAATGTTCTCGGAGGTTTTATTAGTGAAACATCTGCTGAATCAGAAAGAGGCAGTCTGTTCTTTTGATAAAATGTTAAAGGTCCTATGTTACGCAAAATGGACTCTTATTAGATTTAAGCCATGTTATAATGCTGTTACCTCATCAAAAACAAACCTGGAGTTGTGTTTTGTTTCATTTAAACATGTTTGAGTAACACTTTATTAGTCTTTCTGCATCTACAAAGCTCAAAACGCTCTTTATTCAGAGATTGACAGTTCCTGGACTGAAATCATCCGAATGATTCTGGTGGAGGTGGTGGTATTTATTCTAAGAGAAGCCAAACTCAGCCTAAATATGAAGGATTTGTGTGTAAAAAGTTTCGCTAAATGTAACTTTCTAGTGGAGGATCTGCCACCTGTTTGTCTTCATGGAAATGTTATTACTTTGTCTAAAACAGGCATGTCACACTCAAATTCACCAAAATTAAAAACTGAGACTAAGTTTTGGGCCAAACTAAATATTTATTGAAAAATTTCAACAACATCTGCATGTTTTCTCTTCTTTCAAGATATGCAAAGTTAAACCTTTTCTTCTTAAAATAAATGTTTAATAATAGTTTTGCTTAACATTCTGAAAAATAAAAATCATCCTGTTCAGACATTTGAAAACATAAAAGGAAATGTTCAGAAAAGTTTCTCTGAGTTCTAAATGCATCAAAGAGAATTTTGTTTGGTCCTAAAATAAACATGGCTGGGTTCTATAAAATGTCCACAAAGGCCTAATGTATCAAGTATGATACATTTTTTATTTATAAAATGGTAAAAATGATCATTATTATTATTTTTTATTTACAGTCTGTTGAAAGGTCCAATAAAGAGTTAAATATCAAAGAAAGTCTATTATGTGTCAGGATTTATAGAGTTTAACACTGAATCCAAAACATGCATGAATATAAAGTAATAACAAATATTTAATTAAATAAATAATGTCTCTATAGTCTATCTGTAGCCGGCGGGACAGCTCTAATACATATTTGATATGATCTTATGGGCAAAATATAATTATATAGTGGGCCTAATTTGGTTCCTGGGCCTGAGTTTGACATGTCTGGTCTAGAACATCCCAGAGTATGGCATTAACCTTATCTATTTCCATGGAGACAAGTCTGCGATGCCTCCTGGCCAAGTTACAAGTCAGATCTGTGGGAATGCATGCATTTTTTGAGCATTAAAACCTTTGTAATTGAATAAATGGAGACATAGATGAGTTCAATGACATACTGTGAAGCAGAGTAGTCATATCTCCTTTGACCCCCACCAGAAAAGTTACACAGTGCATCTTGAAAAAAAAACACAGCTCCAGGTTTATTTGTGATAAGGAAACAACATTACAGCATAGACGAGAAAATAGTGCAACACGGTCCCTTTAAGATTTAAAAGGGTAAAGATAAATTACTTTTGACGTTCGATCTGAAGTCTCAAATCCAATGCAGTTCATTTGCAAGAATGGTTGTCAATATTTGATGAAGCTGACATATGCTGGACTGAAGCGTGACCTCTGACCTCTCCGCCCACTGCTCAATTCACATACTTATTCATTTGTGACAAGTTCACTAGAGCCAAAAAAGTAATTTATCTAAAAATGCTGACTCTTAAAGTATTTTCTGATCTATGTTATAATGTTTCCTCATCACAAACAGACCTGGAGTTGTGTTTTGTTTCATTTACACATGTTTAGACTGAGTTTTTCACTCTCTTCCACCTTGTGACGTCATGTGGCGATACAGGAAGTGCTCCATTGTGTTTTTAAACTCCGTACACCTTCACTAGAATCATTTGGATAATTTCAGCTCTGGAATTGCCCATCTCTACTGAGCACAAGGTAAAAGGAGCTGTTAACTTGAAAACATACCTAGTACATGACATTATAAGAGGATTTTGACCTTTGGAGGTGCAGACAGACTAAACGGTTTCTCAAATATCTGTGAATGAAACAAAACACTCCAAAAAAACTCCAAGTCATGTGGAAATACATTAAGTGCTCCTCTTCATCATCTTCACTAAAATCAGTATAATATAATATAAATTTAGCCTCAGAATTCCAATCCCTACTAAAGAAAAGGCAGCTGCTAACTTGAAAACTAACACGTCATGACAT